GCCATGGTGATATGGCTGATTGTAACCCACTCATTGCTGAACTCACATCGGATGGGGGCATCTGGGTCGAGAGACGGGTCCACTTGCGGTGGCGCTGAAAACTCGATTGGCCCCCGACGCTGGGGACCTAAAATCTCTTTCCGCCATGCCAGACATTGTTCGTCCCAACCCACTTCATATGTCTTGGGCTTGCCAGCGGTGGATCTGGCGGAAGGCTCTTTTGGGGGGGTCTCCTTGGCCTCAACCTCAGGAAGCTTCTTGGGGGTCACCACACTCCTGCGTCCATCTGTTGGCGCAGGTATGGCAGGCGACGACAATGAAGACGCTTTGGCCCGATGGCCTCAGATGTTCTTCGCGGTCGCTATGAATTTCCCCAGCCGACATCTTTAACGTTGGAGCCTTCACCCAAAAAGTGTGTGGGTATAGGCAGCTTTGAACATCCTACCACGAAACTGCTTTGTTGGAAAGGCACGCCATCAATTGGCCAGGGCTAGATGCTAGATCCAAGTGTGTCCGGCGAACACCTGCCCAATGGGCAATGTGGCATTGGGTCATGGAAGTTTGCGCGTCTAACGCTACACTACTACCCTTTTTCAGTAGACTTGTAAAAGACTCTACATTGACGCTGACGCCACCTGCTGTAAGTGTACTTTGTCGCCAAGATACCAGGCATCGAACCGGCAGGGCATCCAATCTCAGAGTCAAAGAACGACTTGAAGTCCGGAGGTGGCCCCATCACATCCTTATATATACATACGGACATCTCAGGACCCCTATTTCCCTGATGTTGTCGATTCTCAAAAACAAACATAGATGGTTTTCGACGCCATCGTGGCAGCTCTAGAATTTAGCAGATGACCTGCCCAACCGAAAAGATTATTTCTGTTGAGATGAGGCGCTAACATCAAGTCAAATTCCGCATTTGCAACCAAACAAGCTTGAAACTCTGACACATCGCCGTCGGGCGTGGGTGCCTTCGGTTTGGCTGGCGCGGCTTTGGTTTTGGCCGCGGTTTTGCGCGACTCCTTGGCGGTCGTTCCAAGGTCGCCTGACGACTCTTCACTTGGAGGAACTTTTGCGGTGGTTTCGTAGTCTTTTTTTGTAGGGGTTCCTCTGGGGCTGAGGGAGTCGAAGTAGGCCGCACTGCCTCCAAAGCTACCTGGTTGGCTTGGTTCTTGGGAGATGGCTGTGAGGTGGTGCCCTCATGTGGTTCAGGGGCTTTGCTCTTGTTCTTTTCTTCTTTGCTCTTTTTCTTTGCTTCTTTGTCTTTCTTTGCTTCTTTGTCTTTCTTTGTCTTCTTTGGTCTTTCGTGTGCGAGTGGTGTCCTTACTCTGTCGCGGTGGTTTTTCGCTGAACCTTTTCAACCTCTCGAGTTGCTCCTTGCGTCTCTCTTTCCTGAGTCTTTTCTGCTCCTGTCTAATTCGCTCTCCTTCATCCTCCTCCTGTTCTGCGTCGACCGCAGCCTCCTCATCCTTTCCTTGACTCTGGCCTTCTGGCCCCTCACCCTCTTCTACCTCCTCTTCCTCTCTAGCCGATTGCTCCTGCTCCTCTTCCCTTTCCTCACCTTCTTCCTGCTCCTCCTCCTCGTCCTGCTCCTGGTCTGTTTCTGTGGTCTCCTCTGCTGCGCTTGTGCTTGTTTTGCTGGTGCTGGAAGGGTCAGATTCGCAGGCTGACGTTTTCTGCGCAGGAGTCTCATCAGAGTCCTTGGAACGCTTCTGGCGGTGAGCCCCAGCAAAGATCCTGGTTTCGCTGGTTTTGGGGCGGGCGCCACTGACCCTCCCAAGAAAAACACAAATGAACTGGTCTTCCATTTAATATTTTTGGTAGACGACTAAATGTGTCACGACAAGCTCTCCTGGGGAAGCCATTTCCGACAGTTCAGGGCCTCTTGGGAAACGTGCCGAAAGATTGCTTGTAGCTGAAGAGCTCGGTTCATAGACCTTGTTCAGTGAAGCCAGCTCAAAAAGCAAAACCAGTTTTCCACAGAGTCTAAGTACTCAAGAGTCAAGAGTTATATAACCTGTTCTTCCTTTAAGCCTTCCAAACACATAGTCAAGGCTCACGCATTGGATAAGACCCAGACCAAAGCGCAGCCAAGGGGCCACATGTTGACATCGTCTGCTGACACAATGGCTTTCTCCTTCAGGGCTTAGTGCGGAAAACATGTTTCACGTTCAAGTTGAAGCTATCGTTTGGAGAAGGAAACTGCCCAACACCGTTTTTTTCTGACCAGTTTCCTCATTGACCTTGATAAGGGCACTTGCTATGGTGGTTGCGTTGAAGTTCCATGTCTTGTCAACATCCTGGATGCGGCGCAAATGGTCCACGTAGGACTTCAGCTTGTCCACCTGTTTCTTCTTCATGCTCCGATCAGTAGTATACGAGATGAAATCGCGGCTTGACCTGAGCCATTTGCAAAGGACTTGCCAGAGAAATCCACAACTTAAGTGACTCACGACTATAGAAATTTAACATAGGTCCATCTAGGCACCTGCGTTTCACATCAAAAGAAATTCAACGTTTTTGGTTGCCAAGTCAAGTCACACCCAATCTCTCATGGCTCTGCTCAAACCTTCCACATCATCGTTCCCTGAACGCCGTGGATTCTGCCCAGCCACAGCCACGGCAGACGCTGGTCTTTTCATGGCCGTCTGCAGTCACTAGAACTTGAAAAGAACGGTGGCCTTAAAAAAACACGAGCTTAACGGAGTTCCACAGTGTGCAATATAGTCTTTGCCTGCCCTACCCTTGAAACGCTAGCTCACTTGAGCAGCCCTATAGAATTTTCCTTCCACAAGTGCCACACCGCGTCTCAGGCCAAAAGTTCTGAACCACGAGCTGGCGCGGCGAGCGCTTTTCACCTCAGCCCTGATTGAACTAGAGCGACACTGTTAACAGGAACTTTTAGCAAATCGAGCTGTTGCTGTTGAGAGCTGTGTCAATCAGGAATGTCAATCCAATGTCGTGTTACCAGATTGGCTTGGAGAAATGTCAATGTCAAAGTTCGATCTGAAAAAACCTAGGTACCACACCATCAACCCACGGTACCCACACATACTCAAAAGCCATGCGCGCATACAAGCTCAGACACCGTTGCACTAAAGAAGAAACTAAATAGTTTAAGTTTTAGGCAAAAACAGTTGTTTAGTCATTTACTTCCACTCACACAAAGCTGTGGTAGCGTGCAAGGAGTGTATATATCCTGTGCAACATCTAGGTGCTTGAAGGCAAGTGCTTGGGTTCCAAGCAAAAAAGGCCACGCAGGCGCCCTGGCAGGCAGCAAATGGGATTCCTGCTGCTTCTTGTCAGCAGGCTGCTTCAAAGCTGAACTCAAGCGGCCTTTCTTGCCACCCTTGCCACCTTTCGAAGTCGAAGACGCCGGGCACTCCGGATCTCCTTTCCAATGGCCTTCACGACCACAGGCGTGGCACTGTCCTGCCTTCTTCTTGGCGACACCAGGGCCAGCATGCAAACCAGGCCCTTTTTAGCCACGTCTTTGTGAAGAGACGCAATCTGAGTTCTTGCCTCCCTCAAAGTCACCAATGCCTCAACAGCATTGCCCAGCTGCTCTTCCAAGGTCTCAAGCTCACGCAGCTGCTTCTAGCCCTGTTGCCAGAACTTCGATCTCATCCTGCAAGGCTTGCAAAGCACCATCATCTCGGCCTTCGGAAGGCTCTTGTTCAGCTTCATGCAACTGGCTTTCATAAGCCTCGTAGGTCTCAGGGTCATAGTCGTCGTACTCGAGGGCAGTGTCTTGCTCAGTGAGGTTCACAGCTGAGGCGCCCAAGCTCATGCGAGAACCTTTCGAGAAGTTCGAAGAGGCCGAAGACACCGTCGTCGAAGCCGAAGATGAAGGCCTCCTCCATGGCTGCACACCACCTTAGGTCGACCCAAGGGTCTCTTCCAAGGAGTTGGAGTCCCAACCATGTGGATCCTCTTGAAGAGCCGCACTGACTCTTTCTCACATTCAGCATAGCTCTCTGTTGAAGCACCAAGCGTAGTCTCCAACATCTGCTTTTGAACTTCGGTCAAACTCAGCTTCTGCTTGTAGAACCAGGCGCTTTCAGCATCATCAAGGGTGATGCCTTCAGCTCGCATCTCGGAAACCAAGGTGCGGTACCTCAGGGCGAAGTTGATCACCGACTCATTGGAGCTGCGCTTCAAAGACATGTAGAAGCGCTCTCTCAGTTCACCCTTCTTGTCGGTCAGGGTTTTCCCCACCATGGTCTCCCAAGCGTCGATGAGACGCCAACACCGCAGGTGTAGTCAGCCTCCTTCAAGATGATCTTGTCGCCATCAGGGTTGCCGGGATCATCCACTGACTCCTCAGGGAGGTAGGCCAAGTCCTCAGGCGAGAACTCCAAGGCCCTCATGCGAGCCGAGCCTCGTTGCTTCATCGCAAAGCGAGCTGCCAGGTTGAAGCCTTTTGTCGTCGAAAGGTCAATCGAAGACAACCACCAAGTCACAGTCCTTCTGAATTCTCTCAAGCTATCTCCACGGCCATCCCAAACAGGGATCGAAGAGTCGAATCCGGATTCGGACCAACCACCAGCATAGCCGTGTCCTTTCTCATCCGACATTGGGTCTCCTCAAGCTGCGTGCACTCCACGGTCAACGCGTCCAAGATGAAGTCGTCCTACTGCGTGTTCTCGTTTGGAGCTTTCGGCGAAGCTCCAAGGGCCAGAACCGGCCAAGCCAACCACCCACGGGGACCGCAAGCGTCTGCGTCGCCGGGAAGTCAAGGGTGAAGAAAGCCGAAGGTCTCTTCAAGCGCAAAGGGCCACCAAAGGTCGCGCAGGAACCAACCAGCCAGCTCCGCACTACCACTGCAGAGACCAGGAGCCGCCAAACCAAAGCGAAACACACGCGATGAAAGGAAGGCCGCCTAGACTCTAGTTTTCCGCTAGCGATTCAGCTCAAGGCCTATACGGCCGCGAACAACAGGCATGAAACTCAACCTGATGACATGGACGTGCTTTCTCAATGATAGTTCGGACGTCCTTATCTGCTTCTCTGCTCATGGAGGTAACAGGGCGTTCCTTTCACGAAACATTTTGCCCTCAAAGCTGCAGCCTGGGCCTGAATTTTCAATAATTTTCACGCAAATACTTCATGACTTCCTTTGCGCCCTCTCTGCCACCATCGACGCTGATAAGGTCCTGCGAAGATCTGAAACCCAAGAACCAACGAAAAAACAAAAAATGCCTACAGTTTCAATCAGCGCCCAACACTGAGTGTGGAAAGCAACGCCGCTCAAGTTTGGACTGACAAGGCAAATTGTCGCACGCCGACACTATAGCACACCGCCCGACAGTGGTGACAATGGCGACAAACACAGAACGCAAACGATAATTGTTTTCCACAAAAAATCAAACCACACGTGTCCTTCTCTGTTTCTCTTTCTGTTCGGCCAGTCGGGCGTTCCTGCCACGCTCCACTTGCACGGCAAACGCAGCACGTCGCTCCCAAATCCCCAAGCACTTCCCGGGCTCCTTTGCACCCGGTCGGCCACCCTCCACAGTGAAAAGGTCCTGCAATGTTTTCACATTGCGTCACAAAGTAAACTTACCGCGTCGATGTCTTCAAACATTTTTGCATGGCGCACGTGTCCTTGTTTGCTTCTCCGCTCGCAAGAGTGGTGGTTGGGTGTTCCTGTCAGGCATCTCACATCAGAAAGTTCCTGCTTTCCCTTTCAGGCCCACTTCACGGGTTCCTTTGCACCTGTAAGACCACCATCCACGCTGAAAAAGTCCTTCCATGTGTTCACACAAGCGTTGCATTATCGCCAATCAGGTTGCCACCAGCTCAGATGTCAACGAGTAGCGCTGGACAAGTCCTTGTCTGCCTCTCCGTTCGTGAAGGGCGGCAGGCGTTCCACGTATTCCTGCCGCTCAGAGATTGCATGTGCATGACACCTGCACACTATGGGCTGTTTGGCCCTCAAACCCTTGCCAGGTTCCTCTCCACCATCTAGGCCACCATCCACGTGGATAAGGTCCTGCAATTTTCAGCGCGGCTTGCAAAGGCAAAGCCAAAGCGAAAACTTGCCCGCCAGCCCAGCAAGAAAACAAGTTGGCGAATGGACGTTCAAGCAATTGACATGCTCTTTCTTTCTTGCTTGTGGCTCACCTTGCCGCCCTGGAACTCCCAAGAGTCTAACCCCAAACTAGCACACCAGTTTGGAAATCTGAGAAGAGCACGCTGCGCGTGTGAATTGAAATCGTTGGGAAAATGATGCTGCGCACTTGAGTGGGGGGCTATTTTGAACCGTGTTCCATTCTTGCGCGCATACCGCATACCGCCCTTCCTCTCGAAATGGGGAGGGCTCTCGCGCCCAAAATGCCCGCGGCGCGCTTTTCGATTTGCTTGTTAGCCCCGGACGTCGGGCGCGGCTCCCCTACTTCCGCAATGATTGCAGAGCCCCGGAAGAGCTCATTGTCGAGATACCTTCTCATCTCGGCAAGTTCCTGTTTAAATTGGCTTTGCTTCAACCACAAACGCAGGCAGCAGACAGCAACGACCCAGACCCTATGCGCCCATCTTCACTGGGCAGCCTGGCGCTCAGCGAGAGTAGCGCAAAAGGCTCAATCAAATCCCTACCACAAGCAGATGACGCGACTAAATTGTTCAATGGGCAAGTCCTTACCGCGTTTGCGTGACCAGGTCCCTCATCAACCTTCACGCCTGTCCTTCTCGGAGAGGTACCTCATCACCAAGCGTCTTTCCATCTCATCTGTCCTGCTCGTCAAACTGCCGAAACAGCTAAGGCGATGTCTCAAATGTCGCTCACGCTCGCAGCACCTGGGACGTCCTGACATGGACCTCTGGCAAGTTGCGGGCTCAACTGTCTGATTGTCCAACCCAGTCCACATTTGCAGGAAGCGCTTCCGTCTTGACAGTGGCAGAGAGCACCAGATTGCTCAATCGGGGCGAGCCCGTGCACGTGGGTTGTGTACCACAACAGCGGCGCCATCAAAGACATTCGACTGCCGCGTTGCTTCGACCCTGCATTTGCCACCCGCAGCGACTGTGCGCACACCTCTTCATCAGCAAGCCCCCTGCTTCAGTCAATCGCGATAGAAAAGCATACCATGTTTTCGATTCAAACCAAAGCGCTTCACGACTGTAGGTGGACCACGTCACGCATTAGCCTTGTTTTCTCAGCAACGCAAACACAGGGCCAGGGGCGCGACCTTCACAACAGCGCGGCGCCATCGTTGGAGCTCTGCGTGGGTCATACTACGGGGCTGCGGGAGCGCAGGTCCGCTTCGTTCTGCAGCCCTGCGTATGTGTGAGCCCAACGTTCTGCCTTGCAACGTGGCTGCTTTGGCTCAAAAACTGCCGAGCTCAGTTGGACGCTACTCGATGTTTGCAAGGGTTCCAAGGTCACAGAAACTGAACCCCAACAGCTTTAAGAAAAATTATGCCAGCGTAGATCCCAGATAGCAACAGATATTTGCGGGCAGCGTGACAATAGCGCCCACACTCAAAATCGCGCGCTGCCGTAAACATCTGGCAGCGGCGCCCTGAAGCAACCTGCGATAGACATTTGGCAGCAGCATCCTGCAGCGGCACCTGCTGCGACACCTTGTATTGGCGCCACAGCTGCGGTTGTATTTATGCTACGATAGGTATGCTATAGACGCACATCTGCAACTTGCAGGTATGGTGTTAGTTGTGGAGCTGTTGCTACGCTAGCGTTGCTTTGGCGCCGGGATCTTGCTTTGGCGGGTTGCTTTGGTGGTGGGATCTTGTTTTTGTTGGGACGGTGCTCAAGTAAAGTCATATGCAAAGTCAAGCGTAACTTTTGCTGGGCTGTCGCTACACTTTGCTTTTTCTTCGTAGCCGTCGCATCGTTTAGCATTGCGCCTGCGCAACACTATACGATGTATAGCCGCCCCTTTCACATTCGCACCACTCCAAAGAAAGTCTCACGCTGTCTTTTTGCATCAGTTTACTGCGTTCCATCTTCTTCTAACACATTGCTCCAATTTGACTTTGCTTGCGCCTGCCACCCGGTACACGATGAGCTCGCGTGTGGAAAGAAAAAATTCTGCGCGCGAAACACGCAATCCTATATCCTCAAAATGGAACACATGGTTCTTTCTGCTGTTCTTTAATGCCAACATAGGATTAGGCAACCCCCCCCTATTAGTCTACCCAGCGTTCAGGCCCCAATAATAAACTAATTTGAACTACTAATTTCCACAGTCACCACCCTCTAATAATTTTTTTCTTGGCTGAAACCCCCCCCTATTAGTCAACCCCCTGTCCCCCCAGGAAAAATATATTTATTCCAATATATATATGTGTTTAATTAGTTTTATTCTGTTTTCCTTTTCAATATCTTTTGGTCCATGGTGAAACTGATCTTCTGATCCACTCTTTTCCCATGCCATCTCTTGAGAGATAGCATTCTGATCCACCCTTCTCACATGCCATTTGGCATTCTTCCAGCTGATGCTCTCATCCATCCTTCTTATCATCCTTCTCATCCTGCTGCTCCTTCTTCTTCTCATCCTTCCCAGCAGCAATCTGTGCAGCCATTGTATACTCATATGGGATCTTCCTGCCCAGCCTCTTCCCCTCCTTCCTCATCCAATAGGCAGTGCATTTCCACACATTGCAATCCATACACCCACTGGAATACCTGCACTTGCCACATACCCCAATCCCATCCAACTCAATCTTGGTTTTGGCTTTCAAATAGGCTGCTGGGAGCTCATCCACCCTCAAAGCACCACCCTCATTCACCAATTTCCAAGCATCCTCCTGCATCTTATTCAACTTCTTATGCTCTGCCATCATCTTCCCAGCCAATTCTGCAACCTTCTCCCTCTCCAACCTCATCTTCTCCCCATTCTCCTTGTCCTTCTCATCCAGGGCCTTCAAATCCTTAATCCTCTTATTTCTCTCAACTTGCAGCTGCTCACCCACCTTCCTCATCTTGCTGATCCAGTTCTGGGCAGCAACCCATGGCCATCCAATGGCTGCTGGCCCATAGTCCATGGCTTCAGCAACTTCCTGCTCCATATAAGCCAATACAAATACACCACATTGATTGGATCCCTTCTTCTGCCTTATCGCCCCATTGTTCCTCTCTAGGGATGGCCTATCCAAGAACTTCTCATCAATGATGCCCAAACTCAGCAATGAAGCCAATAGCAACTCAGCACTTTCCTTGGATAAATCTGATGGTATTTCCAATGTCTCATAGCACCTCACCTGCCTATCAAAAGGCACATCCTTCCTGAGATCCAATACCAGCAAGGTCCAATGCCCACCAGCTGGGATGGGGATCAGGAAGACCTTCTCCTTATCTGCAAATAGCCTTTTGGCATGCTCTGATACCTTCTCCCAAGGTGCCATCAAGTCCTTGTTCCCATGCTCATTCTGCTGATGGCCAATGAGGCTGTAGCTCATGGAAGGGTTCATGAACCTCACAGAATCCAACTCATTCATGCTCTTCCCATTGAAGACCATCCTGAGCAAGGCCCATCCCAAAACCAATGTTTGAGTATCAATCCCATCCTCCTTGATACTCTTCTCTGATATGATCTCCACATCACCATTCTGATCAATATAGTCCAGGTCCAATGTATATAGCCCAGCCTCACAGAGCATTTGCAGCTTCACATCCCTGGTCATACTCAGCTGAGGCCATCTCCACACCTTCTCATCCCCCCTTACCTTGGTGATCCATTCTTTTTTGACCCATGCCTTTCTGTCACCCTTATTCCTCCAATCCTCCTCCAATATCAAATGGACCTCATCTTCACCAACCCCCAATGCTTCACCCTGCCTCCCATACAGGGTTTGTCCAGCAAGCTCATTGGTGACCCTGATCTTCCCCTCCCATCCATCTGGGGGTGCAAATGCTGGTGGTGGCAATGGGACATTGGCTTCATCCTTGCCTTTCTCATCCTTTTTATCCTCCAATGGAAGCTTCTTCTGCTTAGATTTCTTATCATCCTGCTCATGCTTCCCATGCTTTGCATCCTCCAATACATTCTTCTCTAATGCCTTTTCCTTCACCTTATCCCCCAATGCCTTCTTCTTCATCTGCTTCTGATAGCTCTTCTTCACCTTTTTCATGAAGCTAATCTTCTTGTCCTTCTTCTTATTCTGTGACCCCTTCCTGGTAGCTGATGGCACCATTGAACTCAACACCTCATTCCTGCTTCTCTCCTGCAGCTGATCTCTGATGGCTTTCTTCTCTTCATCATCCAATCCCTTGGCAGCATCTCTCATAGCTTTCCTTTTCTTCACCTTCTTATCCTTCTGCTTCCTCTTTTCTTTTGCCTCATCGCTCATCAAACTCTCCCTCAGCAGTGCTGCCTTCCTATAGGCCAATGGCAGTTGAAATTGGCTGGCCTGCACCCATTCTGGTGTGTTCTCATCAGCAATTCCTGGAATGTCAGCATCTTTGTACCAATCTTGATCTGAATGATACATCCATTCAACCAAATCAGCCAATTCCTTGGCCCCTTGAATCCTTGTCCAATTGGGAGGTGTGATAACCCCATGCTTCTCCACATGCGCCAACCTATTCTTCAACCATCCCTCATGAACCCTGTCACTTCCCAGTGGCATATCCTTTGCCCATGGCTCCTCACCACACCACTTCATGATCCCATCCCTCCCTGGCCTCATAGCCAGGAACCCATTCCTCCTGAGCCCTTTCAGCACCCATTGCCTCTCATTGTTTTTCTCAACCATACCTTCCATACCTTCATGTAGGCATTGGGCAATGTCCTTCATGCTCATCTGATACACCTCACTGGTGCCCATGGCCTTCTGATTCTTTGCCATCACCTGATCAACAGATTTCCTGACCAAGCTCTTAAAAACATAGCTGAAATCTGTATCAGTCAATTGCATCATAGCAGTCATCTTGGGAGGAATGATGGCCTGAATCTGATGCGCAGTAAACATAGTCCTCATTGTATCATCTGAAAATGATGCTGCAAAGCAATCCCTCTGATAAATGGATGCTGG